AATGAAAGTAATTGAATGTACCTAATTTTCAACTAATAAAAATAAAATTAATTAACAATGTTTTTTTTTTTTTTTTTAAATCGCCTAAGGAAACAAATTTAAAAAAAAATTAGTTGCTATAGGGGAAGAGGATCCTTCCCAAAAGTAGGTACTAAAAATATCACTAGAAGATATCATGAGGTGTTAAAAATTTAAGCCATGAAATTGATGAATATTTCAAAAATGTCAAAAAAATAATATCAATCATTCAAGTATCCATAACTCGGCTATTTTTTAACATAGGAAGTTGGTTTCACCATTAAAATTCATAAAAAAATAAGAGTAAAAACAGTTAGCCAAAAAATAGTGGGATTGCCATTTAAAAAAAAAAGATGTTATGCGCATGCGCGAAATTATATGACATAAAAATTGTTTGAATGCTTTAATAAGTTATAAAAAACTTTATTAAGTACCACAAACAAACAGAATTCAAATATATTAAATATTTGTTAAGTTATAGAGTGTTTCCAACAACCGATTACACACTATATATATATGCTTTATACGTCACAACCATAACAAAAATGTTTAGAGTAACTTTTTCATACTATGTCGATCATTATAAATAACATAATATATATAATTATATTACTTATTAAAAAGGATCGTTAAGTAACTATCTAGTTTATTTGTTTTTGACGGAGTATATTATATTATATCCATTGTTCCATTCCTAGGAATATATCAAAAATAAAGTTTTCAACGACGTAACAAACAATTAGATTTATTTTATTATAGTAAATTTTGTTATTTATTATTTATGTAACACTTATTTTAGCTATGTTGAAAGAGAATGAAATAAAATCAATTATAATTAAGTACTTATAATATTATCTTGCATTATTTTTAATTAAAAATAATGTGCAGGTGTATAATTGATTTAAACTAAAATGTCCTATTTTATAACTAGTTTTTTAGTCGTTAAATTATTGAGAATTCAAGGAGCTGTTGAAAATAATACATAATTTTAATTAATTTAAATCATATCCTAAACTTGTACACAACTACCAAATTATTTTTTAGATCAATTTAAGGACATAAAATTATAAAATAACTAACAGATTATAATGTATCATAATTTCATTTTTTTTTTTTTTATATGCATTAAAAATCTAAAAATATACACAGTAAAAAAACGTATAAGTTACAACAAATATCCATTATTTTTTTTAAAATTGTGTTTTATTTTTTTTAAAATTTTAATTAATAACATACTGTTTCTGTAATACATCATATAACTAATAAATCCCATATAACTAAAAAAAGAATAAAAATAACATCTAAAAAATTAATATTAAAATTGAAATAATAATCCTCCGATCCTAAACAAGACACACCATTGTCACACATAATATAATAAATATAATAAAGTACAAATAACAACCATGCTGAAGCCGATGTATTAAACACTTCACAATAAAATATATAGTTCTTATTTCTTTATTATCTTTTATTGGACACTGCAAAAATCATTCTTAACCATTCTACTACAATAAAAATAACACTCGGTAAACAAGATGCTCTTTTAATTCATAGTTTTTTATTTTTTTTAAAACCTTCGGCACTAATACCAAAGTTTAAAAACAAAAAAATGCCATGTAAATAACTTTAAAAAAAATAATGCTTTTATGTAAACTTCACATTATAAACTTATATATTTAGTTAAACTATTAATTATTACTTATTGCCTATGTAAATATAAATGAAGACTAATAATCTAGCTGTTAAAGCCTTATTCATATTCTTAATTATTAAATTTTTTTTTAATAATAATTTTTTTAAGATTATTTATATTATAATTTATACACTATAATTTTTTTATGTTTAAAGTATGGTAGGTAAAGAGGCTTAACATAAAGTGATTTTCTAATGCAAATAAATTAAAAAGTTATTTACTGTTTGAGAATCACACTTTCTAATATTAAAACGGTAAAATAGTATATCGTTATAGTTATAGATAAGTCAACAAAAAATAAGACTTACTATTTTTGTAACAATGTATACTGAAATATAAAAAGTGTAATAATGTATATATAATTATATAAGTACCTATAGACTTTATATTAAATTGCGTTAAAGTCAGCAACTATTGACAGTATTACACCCACATTTACCATATTTTCTTTAACCTACAGATATAAATACTGAAAACATGTTCGTGATAATTTCTATGTTTAATTTGGTATTTAATAGGTAATAGTACCCAATATATAAACTCATTTTTATTTTATTATAATTATTATTTTTTTTTTTTTTTTGGAGGGAGGAGGTTTCATATTAGTGAAATAATTTGTATAAAATTATAAAATGCTTAAACTCAACTTTAATCTGTTTTTATATTAACTAATTATTTAAGAATTCAAATTAAACGTATCGTAAATTATACTACAAATTTTAGTTTTCTTTTTTTATTTACCAATTCATCAATAACTTCATAAGATTAAATATTAAAATTTTTATGAATCATTAACATCCGGTCGCTCTAGTTGAATCAGAAGATTAGTTGTTTTATGTAGC